TGTACTGCACACTATATAAATCGAAATATTCTCATGATCCTCGTTGTCCTTTTATTTTGATTTCCGGTAAGATCGCAACGTCTGCCTTACATGTGTTTAGTTCATGTAGAACATCTTTTCTTTGTGCATATTTCTTAAACATTCTTTGTATAAAATTTCCAAGTCTTGTGACGTTTACTTGATATTTTTTTTGAAACACCATTCGCATTAAATTTTGTTCACTGGGGTGAAGTTTTATTCCGTAGTAAACATTGACATTAAAACTTGAGGCCTACTATAACATTTTTCTTTACTATATGACATTTCGCTTTTCCTCAGTCTATATTGTTCTCTTTCTTTCTTATTCCTATATTTTTCTCTCTTATGTATGTTTTTCCACCCTTTCCCTTCATTTCGTCATTTTCTGTATAACATTAATGAAAATTCGAACTATTACTAGGTTTCTCTGTTTCGCCTCCCTCTTTCTCTACTTTCTCGCCTTCCTCCCCTCCCTCACCTCTCTCTATCGCCTTGTCGTTGTCGGCTCTTGTTTGTCTTTTTCGCTCTCTCTTTCGCCCTGTCTTTCAACCCCCTTTCTCGTCCCAATCTTCCTTTCGTCCCTCTCTCATTTGCCCTTTTTTCTTTCGTCCGCTCTATTTTTCCTCTCAGTTTCTTTTCCACCCCCTCTTCTTTCTCTTTTTTCCTTTTAAGTCTTTCATCTCTCTTTCCTCTTTCTTTTTACCATAATCTATATTATTCCTTTTCTCTCATTTCTCTCTTCCTCTGTCCCCCCCTTTTTCACTCTCTCCCTGACTTCCTTATTTCCACCTTCCTTATTTGTCCCTGTCTGAGTTCCTCATTTTTGTAATACGTTATCAAAAATTCGAACTGTTATTCTTACATTTTTCTCTTTCGTCCTCTACTTTTTTTTCTCTCGTTCGTTCTCTCCCGTTCGCTTTTTCTTTCGCCTCTTTTTGTTGTCTCTCTTTCGCCCTTTTCTTGGTCATCTTTCGCCTGTCTCTATCTCCCCTTCGTTGTTGGATCTTGTCTCTCTTTTTTGCATGTTCTATTCCTCTTTCACCCCTTCCTTTTCGTCCTACTCTCTTTCACCTTCGTCCCTCTATCGTTCGCCCTTTTGTCTTTGTCCTCTCTATTTTAACTCTCTTTTCTCCACCCCCTCTCGTACATTTCGTTTCTATCAAGACTTTCTCCAGCCTTTCCTCGTTCTCCTCTCTCTCTCTTAAATTATTTATTTTTTTAATTTTTAGTTTTTTTTTATTGTAATCAAGTCCGTCGTCCGACTCTCTACTTTCATGTTTTCTCGATCTTTCATGACCCATAGAGTACGAAGAAATAGGTCTCCCGTTTCCGTCTGTCTGTCTGTCTGCCGTCTTTTCGGATTTTTATTAAATATATCATCCTTGAAACCATTGGACCGATAGTTCTCAAATTTTGTACGTACATTAGGAATATCATGTAATTAGTAAAACGCTCACGAAAATTTGGCTAATCATCCCCATCAGCAATGGGATGAGATCATCTCCAAAATTTATGTTAATACAATGTTTGCAATTGTATAAAATTAGACACTCTTGCACTGGCGGTGTATGAATTCATCTTGAATTTTCACCTTAGAAATCCATATTTTTGGGGAAAAAAAATGTATAACATTTTGAAATTTAACTTTGTAACTACAAACCCGAATGCTCTGAAATCTTGAAAACGTTTTAAGGTTATCGTGGTGATGGTAAGTCGTTATTCAAAATTTATTCGTTTGTCCCCTTCCAAAAGATTGATGACATCATCTCAAAATTTTCTCAAATAGTTTTTTATCATTTCATTAATAATTTTTGGAATTGCTTATACAGTGTGACTCAAAAAAAATTAATGAATTAGTCAATTTATTTTATTGATTATATCATTTCAATTTGAATCTGCAAAACCGAATGTTTTGAAATCTTGCAGACATTTTAAAGTATCGTAAGCACGATAAATTTGTAATCAAAATATATCTTTATCCCCTCCAAAAAATTGATAACATCATGTCAAAATTTTGCCGAATAAATCCTATGTAAAATGTGCAAAATATGATGAGCTAAACTTGTAATTTATTATTCCATTCATATTTTTTAGAATTACTTATCCTGTCAGTCAGTTTATTTTATTGATAAAATTAGTAACGGGTCACTGCATTTTCACTAATATTTGGGAATACAGTACAGTATAACCTCTTTAATTCGCATAAAAACTCTGCATACTCTGCAGAAATTGGAATTTTTTGACATTTTTAAAAATTGTTGGAGTTATCCAAGAAATGAGACCGGAAGTGTCTTCCGTAGCCCGAAATCTACAAGAAAATGTATTTAGTTAAATTTCGAAAATCGTCAAAAATGCATTTGTATACATCGTGGAAAACTTCATTTTTGATAAAGTCGTATAAAAATTCCCAAAAAATTCAAGGTAATAAATTTTGAAGTGCTCATTTCAAAAATATAGCGTGTTTATGGTAATGGATCAAAATTTTCGGAATATTCGGTGTGAAATTCGATTTTTTTTTAATTTTTAAAAATTACGATATTTCAATGGGCGATTCTGGAAAAATGGTTGTAACTATCGAAGAAATGAGGCCGGAAGTGACTTCTGTGGCCCGAAATCTACAAGAACATGTATTTAGTTAAATTTCGAAAATCGGCGAAAATGGATCGAAATTTTCATAAGGAAAAAAGTTATCTAAAAATTTTCAAGAGATTCAGGGTTATAGATCTGGACGTGGTGATTCCAAAAATATAGCGTGTTTATGGTCACGGAGTAATTTTTTTTCAGTGTATCTATTATTATCTATCCTTGCTTCAGAAAATTTTATTTTTGTTTAATAAAATTAAGGTTTACTTTTTGAAGTTTGTTTTTAGCAATGTATGAAGTTGTTAATCAATGCCCTTTCAGATTTTTAGGATAATACGCTGATCCGAACAAATCGCTAAACCCAATACACCTTTTTCCCTAATTAATCTGATTATCGAAGTTATGCTGTACTGTTATTAGTATTACACGTTACCTATCCAAATTCATATACGTATCCTTCCAAAAATCGTGATTACGTCATCACAAAAGTTTATAAAGGAAAAACTCATTTGAAACATACCCGTAGCACGCTTCTTTACATTTACTTTAACCTTACATACATATCATTATTTTAACTTCTAAGGCTTCTCATAAGAAATAAAATTCGCAAAATCAAATTTTATAATTTTTCTAAGAAGCTAGATGATTTTTACTGTACTTCAGGGGCGAGGGAAGTTCTATCGAAATAATCTTCGACTAATTTTTTAGAATTATTTTTGGATTAAATAGAAATGTCAAGACCAAAGAAATTAAAGTTTACGTATGAAAAATACAAGATCATGATTCAACCTATTTAACAAAAGAAAATAAATATGTACTTGAATCACTTTCGCATTGAAACGTTTCTGTAAAATATTAGTTTTCAACTTGTTGGATATCCATTTTTCTCCAAATATGTCATCTTTACAAATTTGTGTCTTATTTCCATCTAGTTTTAGTATGCCTATACAATGTATATATTAGAATTGTAAAAAACAGCTTTATTATTAGAAGGTTTAAATAGTAAAAATACTAATAATAGTAAACAAAATCTAAACGCTTTCATGAACCACAAGTGCAATACAATTTAAGTAGGATTTACTATCCAAAATTTAGAACTGACATCATTAAATTGTGGGCATGATCAACCAAATTTTATTAGCATAATTTTACCATCTACACAATTTTCCTAACAATAAAATTTCACAAGAATAAATAATAAATAAATAAATCGTCAACGTAAATGACAGAGAAACGATGGATGTTAGACAGAACAGATGGAAACGGGAAATGTATTTTTTCATACCCTAGAAATTATGGAACGTCGAGAAAACCTGAAAATAGCCATTCGCGGCATAGACAATACTTCACAAACAGGTCAATTTTTCTTTTCTGCCTTTTATTTTTATACACTAATATGTTGGTGATATTTTCGCAGAATGCATTGTGTGAAGTGTAAATATACCACACTAAAAACCCAAAAATTACTATTATAATTTGACTGAAAAATTGGTTAGGTTCATGTTTGTTATTCGTGTATGTTAGAAGTTTATCACACTTTATAAACTAATACGTAGTGACTCATAAGCGCCCCTACGATCTCTAGTTATAAATCTTAAATTGAATAACGCCCCTGAACTACATCAATTGAAAACTAATTTTATTCCACAAATCTTTAACAATTCAATCAAAAGCCAGTCTCGATACTCCATGGAATTTTGCTCTGAAATTAGCTTTTAATCACAAATGGGGTTGTCCTATTTCATATTTTTAAATTGGGGATACTGGAACTTTTGAGGGTGAACACGTCACTTCGTTATAACCCCACTTTTTACATATCGTGTAGATGTAAATGCGGACATCCGTTGTAGTGATAAAAGTCGATCGACAAGTAACTAACTGTATACTTATTTAGACTATAAATATGGAGGATATTTTTAATCGCTCGTTAGTTATTACTTATTATACAGATATTATGCCTGAGAAGTCTTAAAATCATCACACGGTAGTATTATAATGCTACTTTATGTTATATCCCACGGATCGTTAATTTTATGTTTATACTTTGAACTGCCTTTGTATTTTCTAAATGTCATCGTTTTGTTCTGGTAACTCTTTTCCTTAACACACATTTTTAGTTATTTACATCACCATAAAATACGTTACAGTTGATACATCATTCTTTTAAATATAAATTTTTCCTAAAAATTCTCACCCATTCAATACAATTCAACCTTGAACATGAACATTTTCACAAACACTGCCTTCCATATCTCCATCAAATCGACGATTTTCCTTTACATAGTTGCGCTATTGTGTTACAAACAGGTTTCTCGAGCAAAAACCCTGTACTCCGACTACTGAGAAAAATTTCTATACTTGTTCGATCCGCAGAAGCTCACATTTCTATTCCATTCCAGGCTTGATCTACTTGCGTTCGCACTTGGACAAATACCTCGCCGTCGACTCGTTCGGCAACGTAACATGCGAAGGGGAAGAAAAAGAACCAGGCAGTAAATTCCAAATCAGCGTCGCCGAAGACGGCAGCGGCAGATGGGCGTTCAGGAACGTCGTCAGAGGTTACTTCTTGGGCGCGTCGTCCGACAAGTTGACTTGCACTGCTAAAGTACCCGGCGATGCGGAATTCTGGCACATACATCTCGCCGCTAGACCCCAGATGAACCTGCGGTCTGTGGGTAGGAAGCGGTTCGCTCATCTGTCGGAGAACTTGGATGAGATTCATGTGGATGCTAATATTCCGTGGGGGGAAGACACACTTTTCACCTTGGAATTCAGGCAGGATGAGTCCGGGAAGTACGCCATTCACACTTGCAATAACAAGTACTTGTCGTTGGGAGGTGAGTGTTTGTTTAGGGAGATTGTGTGTGTTAGAGGCTGCTTTGTTGTGTATTCATATGTGTAATGCTTGTGATAGGTACAAGTACGAGCTTTGAACAGAAACCCACAAGTTCATATTATTGTGTGTGTGCAAAAAATGTTCGATGAATTTAAAATTAAATATTTATGGAAAAGAAATGTATTTTAAATGTTCATGAAAAAATTCGGGTCAATTTCTACAGTTTTTACTTCCCGAGCGTAAGCAAAGGAAGTATTGTAATCGAGTCCGTCGGCCGACTCTCTACTTTTACGTTTTCTCGATCTTTCATGACCCCTAGAAGACGAAGAAATAGGTCTCCCATTTCCGTCTGTCTGTCCGTCTGTCCGTCTGTCCGTCTGTCCGTCCGTCTGTCCGTCTGTCCGTCCGTCTGTCCGTCTGTCCGTCTGTCCGTCCGTCTGTCCGTCTGTCCGTCCGTCTGTCCGTCTGTTGTCCCGGATTTTTATTAGACAGATAATCTCCGAAAGTACTCGACCGATTGTTGTGAAATTTTGTACTTATATTAAGAATATCATGTAGATGGTAAAACGCTAACCAAAATTTGTCTAATCATCCCCACCACTAATGCGATGACGTCACTTCAAAATTGTACATAGTAAATGGGTTTTCAATTGTATAAAATAACATAGTCCTACACATGTAGTTTACAACTCCGAATCGACTTTTCACCCGAAACGTCCAGATTTTTGGAAAAAAAATCAAAATTATAAAACAACATTTTGAAATTTAATTTTTAATCTGCTAACCAGAATGCTTTGAAATGTTGCAGATGTTTTAAGGCTATAAAGAGCATCATAAATCTTTAGTCAAAAAATATTTGCTTACCCCCTCCAAAAACTTGATGACGTCAGCTCAAAAGTTTGTGGAATAAATCATATCTAAAATGTACAAAATATGATGAGTCTGTACTTGTGATCTATCACTCCATTCATATTTTTTGGATTTGCATATACAGGGTGACTCAAAAAAATTAATGAATGCGTAAATATATTTTATTGATTTAATCAGGAACTACAAAACCGAATGCTCTGAAATCTTGCAGATGTTTTAAGGTCATAAAGAGCATAATAAATGTTTAGTCAAAATATATTTGCTTATCCCCTCCAAAAACTTGATGACGTCAGCTCGAAAGTTTGCCGAATAAATCTTATCTAAACTGTACAAAATGTGATGAGTCTGTACTTGTAATTTATCACTCCATTCATATTTTTTGGATTTGCATATACAGGGTGACTCAAAAAAATTAATGAATGCGTAAATTTATTTTTTCGATTTAATCATGAACTGCAAAACCGAATGCTTTGAAATCTTGCAGATGTTTTAAGGTTATAAAGAGCATAATAAATGTTTAGTCAAAATACATTTGCTTATCCCCTCCAAAAAATTGATGACGTCAGCTCGAAAGTTTGCCGAATAAATCATATCTAAAATGTACAAAATATGATGAGTCTGTACTTGTGATCTATCACTCCATTCATATTTTTTGGATTTGCATATACAGGGTGACTCAAAAAAATTAATGAATGCGTAAATTTATTTTACTGATTTACTCAGAAACAACAAAACCGAATTCTTTGAAATCCACTGCGAAAAAAAAAACATAATAGGCATGCAGTCGTCACGTTTCCGACAGCGAGGGAAGTACTGTCGAAACTCTTTAGACCAATTTTTTATTTTATTTCGCTATTTTTACTTCCGGAGCGTAAGCTAAGGAAGTACTGTAATCGAGTCCATCGACCGACTTCCTACTCTTATGTTTTTTTGACATTTAATGACTCCTAGAGTACGAAGAAAGAGGGCTTCCCTCTGCCTGCCTGTCCAGATTTTTATTAGACAGATAATTTTCGAAACTATTGGACCCATTGTTGTCAAATTTTGTATTTATATTAGTTAGGACTCTCATGTAGTTTACTAATAATTTAATGACGTCATTTCCAAAATTTGCGATAGTAAATTTGTTTTTATTTTTTTTAAATCAAATACTCCTCCACTTGTGGTGTATGAATCCGTGTTGAACCCTACACATCCAAATATTTAGAAAAAAATCAAAATTGTATAATGTAGTTTATCGTAAGCGTCGTAAATCGTTACTCTCTGAAATATTCAAAATAATATGACTATATTTGTGGTTTTTCAATGCACATACAGGATGACTCAAAAAAATTTATGAATTAGGCCGTATATTGTATTGATTAAATCAAGAATGACTCGGCCCGTTTTCTTAAAAATTTGGGAATTGCATCTGCAAAATTGTTGAAAAGAGCGATCATGCAAAATAAGATTCGCAAAATCAAATCTTACAATTTTTCGAAAAAATTTTGTTTTGTTTTTTCAGTTTCTTAATTTTTCGTTTCAATTTTTCGATTTGCAATTTTTCAATTTTGGAGTTTTTGGATATTAATATTACAGTTTTTCATTTTTCGATTTTCCAGTTTCTCAATTTTTAATTTTTAGGTTTTTCAAGTTTTCGTTTCCTCAATTTTTCAACTTCTTGATTTTTATTTTTCATTTATCAGATTTTTTAATTTTCATTTTCTCTCTTTTATATCACAATTTTTCGTTTTTCAGTTCCTTTATTTTTGTTGCTTTTTTTCGATTTTATCATTTTTCGTTTACATATTCAATTTTGCAATTTTTGATTTCTCAATTATCCGATTTTCCGATTTCTTTAATTTTCAATATTTCGATTTTACATTATTTCGTTTTTTCCATTTTGTACTTTTTCGATGTTTTATTTCAATTTTTCAAGTTCTTGATTTCCAATTTTTAGTTTTTTTTAATCAAAGTTTTCATTCTTTTTCGTGTTTTTATTTTTGATTTTTCAGTTGTACCATTTTGGAATTTGTTTTATCTTTTATATTCGAAATGGTGAAAACTCGAAAAATTAAAGATCTGAAGACTAAAAATCGGAAAAAAAACGAAAAATCCAAAAATTGAAAAAACGGGAAATTGAAAATTGAAATCGAAAAATGAAACATGGGAAAACTAAAAATCCCGAAACTTAAAAATCGAAAAAATTAATGAATCGAAAAATTAAAAAGAAGCAAAAACGAATCGAATCGAAAAATTGGAAAACCCAAAATTCTAAAATCGAAAAATTATAGAATCCTCAAAATTGTATAGTCGAAAAACTAACATTGAAGGATTCAAAAATGGAAAAATTACATATCGAGAAATTCAAAAATTAAAAATCGAAAAATTGATAAAGAATAAAGATCGAATACTTAAATGAAAAAGTTTTAAAATCCAATAATTCAAAAATAGAAGAATTCTAAAATCGTAAAATTGAAAAAGTTAAAAAATTTTAAAAATTGTAATTATTCGATAATAGATACATATTTAAAATGAAAACTAGAAAAATTGTAATTCAAAAATTGAAGAAACGAAAAACTGAAAATTCTAAAATTGAAAAAACGAAATAATAAAATCTAAAAGTTGAAAAATTGAAAGTTGAAAACCGAAAAACTGCAAATCGAAAAAAAGAAAAACTATAAAATCAGAACATTGGGAAACCGAAAAATTGAAAAAATAAAGAACAAAAAAACCTAAAAATTGTAAATCAAAATATTTAGATTTTTTTGTCAGTTTTCATTGTTTTTCGTGTTTTTATTTTTAATTTTTCAGTTTTACAATTTTTTTATCTTTTTTATTCGAAAAGTTGAAACCTCGAAAAATTAAAAATCGGAAAAAATTGAAAAATTGCAAAATTGAAAAAGTGGAAAATCGAAAAATTTTAAATTGAAGAACTGAAGAAACGAAAATGCGAAAGATGGGAAAACTAAAAATCCTGAAACTAAAAATCGAAAAAATTAATGAACTGAAAGATTAGAAAGAAAAAACGAATCGAATCGAAAAATTGGAAAACCCAAATATGTAAAATCGAAAAATTATGGATTCCTCAAAATTGTATAGTCGAAAAACTAACACTGAAAGATCGTAATAGGGAAAATTAAATATCGAAAAATTGATAAATCGAATAAATGAAAATTTTTAAAATCCAATAATTCTAAAATCGTAAAATTGGAAAAGTTTACAATTTTAAAAACTGTAACTATTATTAGATAATATATACATATTTAAAATGAAAACTAGAAAAATTATAAATCAAAAATTGAAGAAACGAAAAACTGAAAATTCTAATATTGAAAAAACGAAATTATAAAATCTAAACGTTAAAAAATGGAAAGTTGAAAACCGAAAAACTGCAAATCGAAAAATAGAAAAAGCCAAAAATTAAAAAACTTCACATTGAAAAAAAGAAAAATCATAAATAAAGAACATTGAAAAACCGAAAAATTGAAAAAATAAAAACAAAAAAAACCTAAAAATGGAAATCGAAATTTTTAGGTTTTTTTTTATCAAAGTTTTCATTCTTTTTCGTGTTTTTATTTTTGATTTTCCAGTTTTACCGTGTTGCAATTTTTTTTTCTTTTTTATTCGAAATGTTGAAAACTCGAAAAATTGCAAATTGAAGAACTGAAGAAACTAAAAATCGAAACATGGGAAAACTCGTCTCGAAACTAAAAATTGAAAAAATTAATGAACCGAAAAATTAGAAAGAAAAAACGAATCGAAGTGAAAAATCGGGAAACCCAAAATTGTAAGATCGAAAAATGGAAAAATTAGATATCGAGAAATTAAAAAATTAATCGAAAAATAGATAAATCGCATAAATGAAAGTTTTAAAATCCAATAATAATTCAAAAATAGAAGAATTCTAAAATCGTAAAATTGAAAAAGTTAAAAATTTTAAAAACTGTAACTATTATTAGACAATAGATAGATATTTAAAATGAAAACTAGAAAAATTGTAAATCAAAAATTGAAGAAACGAAAAACTGAAAATAACCTAAAAATAGAAATCGAAATTTTTAGTTTTTTTTAATCAACTATTTTGCAATTTTTTTTATCTTTTTTACTCGAAATGTTGAAAACTCGGTAAATTAAAAATCGTAAAACTAA